ACGAGGGCGCCGCACCTCGAATCCATCGGATTCGAACAAAGGGAGGTACAAGCCGATGGGAAACCGAGCGGTCGGCTTCATGTGGGGCGGTTTGTGAAGGCGACCCTTGTCACAAGTTTTTAGGTTGGGGTTGTTCCCTGGGAACTCAAGAAGCCCTTTTCAACAGTTTTTAGGTTGGGGTCTTCCAGGCACAAGAACCCATTTCCCCTCCAAGCCTGGGAGTTGCTCCGGGCGGCCCTCTCGGCCCGGCCTGCAGCTCGTAGCGGTCCACAGAGCACCAGGGATTCCACTGGCGAGCGCAGACATCAGGTTGCCGTGACGTGAAGACATGGCTGTGGGTCAAAATATGGGGCGGGGTGAGGTCCGTTCAAAAAACAATGTGGTTGCCCTTGGGTTTCCCTTTGAACCAACCCCCCAAAAAGGGTAACCTGAAAAGCTGACACGCCGACACACCCATTTTAAAGGTGGCAACATGGACCAAAGCCTGCGGTCCGCTGGTGGTCTATCTTTGACCCACACCCACATCCATTCCAAGCCACAGATGACAAGGGCGAAGGGCGCACCCCCGGCATCCAAGTGACCATGATGCTGCCCCTCAGTGAGCAATGTGCGTTCAGCCGTGCCATACTCATCCTTGGCTATTCGCAGGATCCTTTGAGTTCATGGTCCGTTGCCAGGAAATAGACAGATTTGCTCGAACCCTCCATGAAATCGACCGGCTTCTTTTGCCAAAACACAGTCCAGGAACCGTCCCATCCTCTGCTTCACCATGGCAAACTTGGGGCCCCCTACTGCAGAGCTCGTAGCGGGTCCCATGGCCTGCCGAGGCAAAATGAGTCCCTCAAGATGGGCTTCCTGTTGGATTCCCTTCAAACCAACTGACCCTCAAACAACAAAAACCAACGGCAGACGGCGTCCAGCCCGTTGTATGAGACCCTGGCTGCATGTACGGCCGCTGCCAGGTTTCTTCGGCATTGTGCCTTGCCAGCAAATAGGAACTGGCAGCTCACGCCACGGGCCGTGGACCCCTTCTCTCCACCAAGTTTCGTGATCGTCCATGCCGGAAGCCTGCTTGTAGCATCTTTTCGGGAGCCACTAAGCCCCAAGAGAGACTACATCCACTCCCCAGGTGTCTCTGGGATCTGAGCGTGACTGGGAAGTAGGCACCCCACGCCTGAGCGCATGGATCTGAACAGCTCAGATGCCAGGCCATTAAGTTATTAAGGCCACCACGAGTCCAAGTGCCAGAACATGGCATAACATGCGCCCCCAAAGTGCGAATGAGTCTGGGAGTCAAGTCAAGATCCCGAGTCAGCAATTGAACAGCTATGGCCCACCTTCAAGAACATCATAAAAATCGGAAATCGAGCTATCAAGCTCTGCTGTGCATTGAAACTCCCTGACTCTAGGAGTCTAGGAGTCTGAGCAAGGGGCGCAAGTCCGGATCAAACACCAACGAAATCAGCAACATGCAACATGCTTGCAGACGATCGCTTGGCTCCTTTTCGCCACCAGACCAACCGCTTGGGCGGGGGTGTGGGGGAGTCTGGGGGGGGATCTTTTCTACAAAAAATAGCTGCGTAAGCAAGACTGCACAAAGATCATATACCATGATTTACAAATGATTTACAAATGTCATGTTCGGAAGGGAGCCTGACTGATTGTGGTCTTGGTGGGACTGGGTACTGCGTGGCGAAATGGACAAACGCACCCAGGAAGATTTAGGGCACTTGCAAACGCCCTGTTCGGCGAATGCAAATGCGAAGGACCTTCCAATGCCAGGAAAGGTACTGCATAAAGAAGATGTTCGAATTAGAATACTTGCTCTGCTAGAGAGCACAGTTCAATAAAATATTCGATGCAAAAGTGTCACCGAATGCATTTTGGCTACATGCCGCCGTACATTGCAAGGAGCAAAACAATGCATGGAGACCCAAAATGCACCGAGTCCCCAGCTTTCAATCTTGCTTCCTTGAACGGCAAGTTTGCACGCAGCCACAGGTAAAATGACTCTCCCGTCAACTTGAAATTATGAGTGGATTGCCGCCACTCATAGAAAACTCTGGGAGCTGGTGAATGATATCGCTTGTTTGCCGAAACGAAATATGCACATTGGGTGTGGTTTTGATGGACAATTTTGGTGCCTCAATGTCCGCCCCTCAACACAAACTGCGGTAACATCATCACTTCCCCAATGTGCTTGAACGAGGAAAGAGGATTTGCCGAGCGGCCCAAATTGAGCAGCATTTCTTTGCCCGCGTTGGCAAAGCTCTGCATTCCCAAGAGCTGTTCCCTCATGCAACTCAAAAGTAACCTCATCTCTCACGAGACAATTCGTACTTTTTCACTGTTCCCAAAGCACCTGTGAGAATCGAGGTTGGACTTGTGAGAAACCAGTTCGTTCAGGTTTAGGGTGTTCAAGGCTTTGGTTTAGGGTGTTGGGATTTTAGGGTCCAGGGTTTGAGCTTGAACCTTTTAATCTTAGCATTTAAGGCTTCGGTTTAGTATTTGCTGTAGGGCTTCAGTTCAGGAATCGTAGGGTTTTGGTTTGGGTTTCGGCTTCAGGGTTGCCCGCTCCCAACCTCACCGCCAGACACTTCACTAGGCATTCCCGCTCCCGAACATCTGAAGCTTTAAGAGTTTAGACCAGCGTTAAAACTGGGAGTTAAAAGACTCGTGAAAAGCCACGAGATTTGACTTGCAAGAAACCAGCGCACTTGGCCCTGGTCTGGGGGTGCAGGTCGTGTTCGCGACGCGCTGTTCTAAAGCTGGCAAGTTGGCAACCGTTCCCGATGTGACATGGCGTTGGGGAAGGCTCAAGATGGTGGGAATTTGCATGCGGAGACTAATTGAAGGCGGTTTTGAGTATGGAGAAGATGAAGAAAGAATGAACGCATGCCAGAAAGCGCGTGTGAGCGTGGGGCGGGCGTGCCAGAAAACACGAGCGTGGGGCGGGCGAAAAAAGTAACTGGCTGAAAGCCTGCCTCTGTCGCAACGCCTGCCGGACGACGAGCGGAACTCCCGTGGACCCGGGACCATTGACACAGACGAACCGCTCGACCAGGGCCGGGTGGCACAACCGGGCCCGGCGCAACCGAGCCCCGAGACATGCGCCAACCAGCGAAGCAAGGGGAGGGGCAAACATAAATAAAACTATGAAACGGCATTGTCACCGAACATGCCCTAGATGTCCTACAGGCATCCGCCCGCCATCGAAAATCCATATACAATGAACATGAAAAAGCATGCTGTGCCAGAGCCAAAAATGCATATCAATGCCAACGAAAACTACATGCTGTTGTATGCCTTCTGTATGCATTGCGTACGTAAGTGGGCACAGAAGAACGCACGCTGCGCTCGGGCGAAAAACACAAGCAGAATCAACGCAAAACTGCATGCCACGTGCTATCTGTATGCATTGTGTGTGTGTGCTTTTTGTACAAATGTCGTATGTATTTGGAAGGCCCGATCAAAAAATGCAAGCAAAATGCATACAACAACAGGCGCACAAAATGCACGCGCCGTGCATCAAGCGCACCTGTCTCGCATAATGCAAGTAAGATGCATACAAAAGTGCACACAAAAACATGCAGCGTGCAGTTTTGTGTATATTTTGTCTACATGTTTGGCTCTGGCTCAGCATGTGGTTTGTGTGCCAACTGGCGCATACACAAGGCATATAGCAAACATGCGGCATGCATGTGTTGCGTTTGTATGTCTCTGCATGCATTTTGTATGCATATTGTTTGCATATTGTATGCGTTGAGGGCGTACAACATACAAACTGCTTGCAAAATGCACACGTTCTGTGTGCATTTTGTCTGTGTTTTGCCTGTTGTTTGCGTGTTTTTTTTGCGTGACGCGCGGGGCATGCGTTCTGTTTGCATGTGTATTTTGTATGCATGCTTGGATCTGGACGTTCTTGGCTCCGGCATAGCTTCAGTTTGTAGGCATGTTCTATGCATTCTCGACAGTTGTGGTTCTTGCGTTGCCAAGTTAAATCAGCTTCAGCTGAGTCCTAAGCGCTCAGAAGCTGCGACTTCTGTTGATTGCAGCTGCCAAAGCAGGTCGCGCTTGAATTGCTTGCGACCCCCGACTCACGTTCTGTATCATTCCAGAAGTCAGGATTTGATGAATGGACAAAAGGTGTGTGTGCAGTTTCGGCCAGATTCGAATCACCAATGCATCGACTTAGAGTCTATCATGGAGGCATTCGTTGCTTGCATTTTGGAGTCGGCGCTCAAAAATACCACATTGCGTGTGGGTTGAGCGAATGTTGGCGAAAGGCCACCAGAAGTCGGCGATAACAACAAAAACCTAACGCCCGTTCCAAGTCAGATTATGCGCGAGCACGTCTTGCAGCCTATCAGGCAAAGAGGGGGAGGGCGCAAAGTGTACGAAGGGCACCATGACGGCGAGCGATTGCTGATGCGACAGCGATGCCGTGATTCTTGAGGCGCCTTTCCCGCAGGAAGTCAAGAGGTCATTCGTCTCATGCATGCATGTTGAATGCCTCTGCAGGCCTTTTGTAGCATGTTGGAAGTGTTTTGGTATACAAAATGTTGTTTTTGTTTATATTTGTTTTGTTTTTTTTATTCTTTTAACGCATTCTGCGAGACAGGTATGGTGCATGCGTTTTGTATGCCTTTGCGGCATTTTGTGTCATGTTGTGTGCATTTTGGGCGGAGCAAAATGCATACACAAATCACACAACATGCATGCACCCTTTTTGCGCGCATGTTTTCCATGTTTGGCTCTGGCTGTATGCTTTTTTGGCCCTGGCATGGCTGCAAGAAATGCCTAAAGAAGCCCGGCACGACGGGAGAACCAACAGCCAGCACCAAACAGAAATGCCTGAAGCTGCATGCAGTTCCCTGAAATAAAACCCTTCCATCCGCTTGAATGCTGCTCGATTACAAACTCAGCGCGGCAAATCGCATTCGCCCTGGTGGCGGTCTTGGAGATGGTCTCGGGTCTTGGAGATGGTCTCTGTGCTTAAATTGGAGGCCACCACCCGAGCGGAAGCAAGCTATGTAGAAGCATTGCTATTGAGTTCTTCAGACGCAGACAATCGCAAGGTCTCCTCAGGGGATGTGGCTGAGCTCTGGCTGAAGGACATGTCTGGCTTCGGACATGTTCAGATTCATCACATCAAATCACCGAGTGATTGCGGAAATCGCAACTTTTGAGCGCGCAAGCCAGCTCTGCAAGACTCTGAACAATGCTCCAATCTTGCATTATTCACCCAAGCCTGCAGCACAAATCATGCCGTCCCAGAAGTACCTGGTCAACGTCGACCATCCGTCAGAGAAAAAATGAGGTTGTCACCATGACACTCCCTCAATGGCACAGAGTGGGAATCAATACTTCGGACTCACATCAAGACTCGTGCAAGTCTTTTCGCCACGAGCCTTCGAATAAGAAGTTGAACTCCGTCACGCTGGCATTGGAGTCTGCGCAAGGTGTCCCAAACCCTGCGTTGCACCTTTGAATGTGCGAAACCCAAAAGCAATGGATAGCCTTGTGGCTGCCACCTCCTTGGAATCACAATCAAGCAAACAAGTATTGATCCAAAGATGCGCAGGTCTCCGGCCGTGGATACGTCTTTGGAATCACCAAACCCCCATCATCCTTCAGAATGAGACATGTCCTGGTTGAATCCAGAAGAAAGGCCAGAAAGAAACCAAGTGTCAATAGGGAATATGCCATGAGCCACAAGCAAACCCGGCTCCTCCAAGTTGTTTTTGGTCTGTTGAAGTACTCAAGCTACCAAGGGTCAGGGTTGTCTCCATTGGACCTCCCCTCTTCCCCGAGCCTTCAGAGGTTTGCCTGCTCCAGTCCAAGGCAGGACCATGAAGCCTCCGCACGCATCACAAGCCTGTGCTTTCTGACTGACGCACATTGGGCATCTGTTTCTATGCCAAACCAACAGCCAAAGTGCAGTCTGGTGCGTAAAACAACTGCACAACACTGATTGTGGCATTCTTTTCTCGCGAATTTGCTTCTGTCATCATCCAAACAAGCGCATGACATGATTCATGGACAATATCTTTTGTCGCCCAGGAACTCACCTTGGTTTGCAGAGAATCCTTGTGCGCTCCCTATGTTCTCCCCAAACTAACCATGGACAACTGGTCGGCTCAAGGCCTTGATACACCCGTGCTGTCCTTAGGTATACTCCACTTCCAAGAAAACTCAACCAATGGGTGTGGCTTCTTTTAGGGGGACCCCAAAAACTGGTTGGTTCTCAGGGAACGAGAAATGACATGAGCCAAAAAAAGGAAAACCATGGTTCTTAGGAAAAAAATCCCAAAGACCGGTTCCTTCAAACATTCGGATCTCTGAACGTCCAACCCCCCACCCATCGCAGCCGGGAAAGACACGAGCATCGGTGCCCCTCGGCTCGCGCCTGCTTCGAACCTTCTGGCGCTGCTCGAAGCGCTGTGCCAAGTCACTGAGAGAGTGGCCTCGCGAAGAAGAAAAAAAGACGCCGCGCGCTTTCGCACGGGCCCAAGGGCCTGCAAAGAGGAAACTTGGAAGGTCCCAAACATGGCGCGGCGGTGTTTGGGATGCCCTTGAAACAAATCCGAGAAAATTTTGGGGGGGAGCCTTCGAAAAGATTGGGCACACCCCCAATCTTGGGAGAAAGCTGGCCCTTCGGCGCGCGGAGACAAGCCCAACTTTGCTTTCGGTTTCAGGCGAGTGTTTGTAGGTCCTAAATGAAATGGACTGAGTGGCTGAAGATTCCCTTTAACTATGTCTGCCTCAAGGGCTTTCCTGGTGTCATTGCCTCATTGGCTCTTTGCTGGCCGCAAAGGGCCTCCCTCGGTACGGGCGAAGCCACGTGCACTACTGCATAAACTTGGGGAATGCTTCTCACATTCCCTGCTTTTGGGGGCTGCCCAAGCTTGCACAACTTGAAACCCACAGCTCAAGTCACAGCCGCCTGCACAGTCCAGCTCGTCCTGTACCTGCGCCTGGCTGAGGCATTCCGAAATGCTCTGCACCAAGGCCAAGGCTCGCAAAGCATTATGAGTTTGCCAGCGAAATGTCAAGTCTGGCAGCAAGAAATTGGTAGATGTCTGCCATCTACCAGGAAGTCATCTCAAGCCAAACACTGCACAAGATGCTCATTCACATGCAGTATGCAGCCCTGAAAAATAAGCTGCAAAGCCGCACAAGAGTTCTTAGATCCGCCAACTCCGTCCAAGCATCCAAGAATCCTCCAATTCCATGAGAGCTGGCGCGTCAAATGCCATGACTTCCAAATGGCATGCGCTTCCTCCATCAGCTTCCTGCCGGAAAAGCTGGGTCTGCGCAGCACCGGAGGCCCAGCGGAAGGCGGTTGCGGGATCCTCCGGAAGCGCGGAGGATCCAAACCACCCACGCGCCATGCGGGTGCGCCTTTTCTTTGGGCACCCCCCCCCAAAAAAAAAAGAAGAAGAATTTTGTGGTTGTCCTTCTGGCTTCCCCATTCAAGCCAACCAATGCTTTCCAGTCCGCCGGCGCAAAGCAACCTGTGAACTTGCCGTGGAAGTAGCGCGTTGAAAAACGCGCTACTTCGAGTCCTACAGTCGGAGAGCAGGCTCTCGGAGCCTGCAAGGATAGGTGAAAAGCTCAGAATCCACGTGCTAGCAGCTGAAAACACCCAACATCTTCCAGGCCGCTCTCAGATCCGCTAAAAGTTTAACTTGTGGGTTACATCGAACTACCACTAAATCCGAAAAACGAAAAGCCTAAGGAGCCACCAAGTCTTTAAGCTGGTCGTTCTGCCACGTCAAGTCCGGATAGTCGGGATTCAACGAGCGATGGTCTTTGGCAACCAGACTGGCTTAAAGTGAGTGGTGACTTTCACGACTCATCTCTACCATCATTTGCGGCCACCCTGATGTCGTTCCTCATAGTTTAGTTTCTTTCAGCCATAAAACCACCGCTTTTGCATAGTACAATAAGCTCAGGTGATATCCCCAACAGCATGCGGTGCTCTTGTTAGTGCTCGCGCCACCCCGCAGCCCGCGCAGAACCTCGCAGAACCTCGTGGAACCCTGGTGGAACCTCGCTATGGCGCATCAAGTGGGCAGCAACTGTCAAACGATGCGCTACGCTCAGCTTCTGCTCTTGAATCATCCTTCACAAGTCGCTTTAACCTCTGCGCCATCGAGCAAGGCAGCAAATAGGCGTTGAACAGGCGATTGCAAAAAAAAGATAGAAACAGGCCGCAAGGCAAGCATCCAAACAGCTCGACTGGCACCTTCCTTGTTAAGGCTATCGTCCGCATTGGCGACCCACCGAATTTGCACGTTTCAGCAGTGTTCCGCTGTGGGGGGGGGTCGGGGGGGGTGGGGGGTGTTGGATGGGGGTTTGCGTAGGGGTTTGACATGCGCACAGACTTACAATTTCGTGCACAGGCACGCGTGCAACGGCAGATACACTCGCGCGCACACGTTTGCATGCACGCAGTGAGAGACAGTGTCGTGCAAGTGAAGCTTGCTTCGCAGCTGGCCCGACAATTGGCCCAAGCTCACAGGCGCTCAGTGCGATCAATTGTGGCGTTAATTGAAACGGTACATACCCAAAAGCCTGAGTTCCAAAGACCCCAGTGGCAGAACCAACCAACGACTGCAGGAGTATGCTTCCACCGTAAGTGCGTGCTGAAAGCCTTGGGAAAGCTTGCCGCCAACGTGTAAGCCTTACACTGTAAGCAGCGAAAGACTAAGTGCAGCTTGCTTTCGCGCTTGGATCCTGCCTTCGTTTGCCTTCAAATTCCAGTGTGTGTTCAATGAAATATATTGAAACCCTGTGAAATACTGGACAATCACAATCAGCTGTTGGCCCAATTCCCCACGCCTGCCACACAGGAGAAAGTTGGAGTCACAGGTTGCGTTTGCGTTTCGCCCAGGGTCGTTAACGCGGACTGTATCTTGTTTTTTATTGTTGCGATGAAGCCACGCTTGCACCATCATGAGGCCGGAAGGAAGACAAATTCCGGAGTGCAACCCTAGCTCTCCCGCCTCTCCGCGAACTAGACATGGCACTAGGGCTGGCCGCGAAGCCGACACCGCTAGAGCACTGGAGTCAGCAGCATCCGACACACGGCACGGCATGCCCAATGGCTTCTGCCAGTCGCCAAGCAGAAAGGCGCTTTTCGGCACATGTGAAGGGCTCAATCGCGCCGTGTCCTGCACTTCAAAATGGGATCCCGGCACGTGCCAAGCAAGTTCTTATCTTGCTAAAGCGCCTATGCTTCCAAACACGGCGGCAAGTGCAACAGCTCCCAAAGCTCTCATGGGTTTAGAGAGGCTGCCGAAATTCAGGAAGCGGTTGAGTCTGCTCAAACTTGTGACAGCAGCGGTCTCGAGGTCAAGAACGCGCTTGCGTAGCACCCTACCTACGTGGATACTGATCTAGCCGTTCTAGTGGACAGCCGTGCCTTTGGCAGCTGTGACACTATCCAAACAACCTCGTCTGGCCTTGCCAGTGACTTGCGACTGTCAAGAAGCAAATCGCTGCAAACACCACCTCACAAGGTGCTGAGAAGGCAGGACTGAGGGGCCCGCATTGTGCCTGCATTGCATCAGCAACAGGTGTTCTGTTGCGGCACGGGCGCTGTAAAAGTCTGTATGCCAGGCGTGCCATGGGTTCTTTGGACCACGGTAAGTGGCACAACGCACTGCTATCCCTGCCTTTGCACTGCTCCCTCTTTGCTTTGCAGAAAATCACCGGCACTTCTTGCTCAGCCTCTGGGTTTCAGCCAGTGCGAGGTCTTTCTGCATAAAACAATCCCGAGATTTTTGGGGCTGAACAGCTTTCAGGAATGTGATGATCGATGTTCGTAAAATGATTTAGCAGTTTGCGGGATGAATGGCTCACCCTGTGAGGCCCACATGGGTCACATGAGGCATCTCACTTTTGCCTCGTGGATCGCTTTGTTCTCAGTCTCGTAATCCTCAATCGCCTGAGCAGGCGACAAGAATCACCCAAAAACTCCCTAAAAGGTCGCCCAGTCTTCAAGACTTCCAGCAAAACCCCAGCCATTTTCATTTCAGCAAGTCGACCACAAAATCACACTGCGAATGGCATCTTCATTGCTAGAATCAAAGGGTTGGGCTACAGGAAATTCTACCGAAAACACTTACTTAGTGTCAGTGTGTTTCGGGGCCATTTCCTGTAGATTTTCCTGTAACGAAACCCTTTGATAAAAGCACCTGGAGCCCCCCCAACCGGAAAACGGTCGTTTCAGGCACCGGGGCCCCCGGCTCGAAGGCACATCAGCGCGAAGGAGCGCGCCTCCTCGTGGCTGGAGATGCGCGCAGCCAGCTCGGAGGAGCTCTCCTCCTGACAGCAAAGCAAGCCGGGAGTCGGCATCAGCAATGGAACAAAAATGGTAGAAAAATGGCACAAAAATGGTAGACAAATTGTACGAAAAATGGAGTCATGTTCAATCCAAAACCATGTGAGGAATTAGTGCCCCGTACTCACCTTCCGACTCTTCTTGCAGAGGAATTAACTGACTGGTGTCAGCATCATAATGGTAGAAAAATGGGGAATCCAGAGACATGTAAGGAATTAGTGCCCCTTACTCACCTTCCGGCTGGGACTGCCCCTCACTAACCTTCATCGACCTGGGTGTTGATTGTGGCTCTGAACCAACGATTCTTGCAGAGGAAATAGCTGACTGGTGCGATAGGCGTTTGGGGATTCCCGAATAAAGAAAACCACCAGTGGGATGGTTTGTAAGGGTTCCATGTCTCATTCCCATCTCTCGCACCGGCAGGGATAAATTATTGTTTCCTCAGTCCAAAAAAAAACTGTGAAGTTCCTGAAAACAACGAAGAAAAAACCATGAGGAAGATTGAAGTTCAAAAATATATATGTCCAAGTCCCAGCTGAACTCTGAGCGGCTCGTGGCTTTTTTTGGTTCCGCTTCCTCCTCTGGGAGCTCCGGCTCGCCCAAGAGCCTGGCTTGCTCCAGGCGGGCTGCATCCGCGCGGCGCAGGCACATGCGGCAGAAGGACCGGGCTTCCTGGGCACCATCTCCATGGCCGACCAGGGAGGAGATCCGGGAGATGGATTTGAGTCAAAAATCGGGTACCCTCCCTCCCACTAACATAGAAACTGACACAGAAAGAGGAAAACCCTCTTCCAGATACCCTCCCACAGCTGCTATGTTTGTTGGAGGGAGGGTAACCCCAAAATAGTAAATGGAAGGGAGGATTCAAACTGCGGTCCATATCCTGGTCAATTTTTCACCCATATTTTCTTGTGATGTAGATGTTCATGGATGGCATGGATGTTCATGGCCGGACACGTGTCCGACCACGCAACGCAGATTCTACAGAAGTTGACAAACCAACTCCTCCCTCCCGCCAGCAACGCAGGGACTTCTCCCCGCCTGCAAGGAGCAACCATCCTCGAAGGTGGTGCCCTCCTCCAATTCCATGCTCGCCGGAAAGTCGCTTGGCACTATCTCAGCCTTTCTCACAGTCGTCCCCGAAAATCGTTGGTGTCCACAAATGGTTTCCCTCCAACCAAAAGGAACCTCCCACTTCTTTGCGAAACCTGCAGCGTAGCTCGTTGCAAAGCAATGCACTCATCTCCTGCGCCTGACGCCAATCAGCAGAGGCCCAGCACAGCTCATCAATCACCTCATCCTGAATGCGTCGCTCCAGGCCATCGCTGTCCTGGGCAAATCACGCGGGGCGCCGTATTTCTGGTTTCATAGGGAAACACAAGGAAAACCACTATTATTATTTTGTTGGGGAGGTCCCCTAAATAAGATGAGCACTGAAGTGGAGAAAAAAAAGAGCCAACGGATCGCTGCTTTCTTTTTTTGGTTGCAAGCTCCTTCCTTCCTTGCGGAAAGAGTTTCGGAACCCAACTCCAGCTCCTGGCACTCGCCGTCACAGAGGTAAGTGCTGGAGGGCTCGAAGCGCTCGTAGCAGGGCTGCTCCCCCTCCAGCGAATCCAGAGCAATGCAATGCTTATCCAATGCGAGGGCCAAATGGCCAGGGGTCAAAATCCCAAGCCCGTACCCCCAGTGAGCCTCCCAATCCAACCACTAAATAGGTTCTAAAATGGGTGGTGAATTCACCTTCCCCAAAATGGTACCATTGGTTTTGACCGCCAAATTGGATTCAAAAACTTTGGGGAAAAAGCTTGTACGGATCTGAGTGACTGCATCGATGTTGGAGTTGTAGGTATCGCTGTGCTGATGCCCCAAGCTCAAAGCTTGAGCAATGTCTTAGGTGCTTGTACCTCATTGAGCAGCTAGAGTAGTCACTCTTGAAAATGGCCCCAGCTTTGCTCCTTCGACCTCAAAAACAAGCTGAAACTTTGCCGGAAGCGAGAATCTGTGCTCCTTGCGCTTCAACTCCAAAAAACCATCCCCTCCACCCTCCCCTCCCCAAACGCCTCCACTCAAACCCCACCCCCCCCCCCCCAACCCCAACCACCCCCCAACCCCAACCACACCCCCAACCCCAACTCCCCCGGCGCCTCGCTGCTGGACGGCGACAGGTTCACCGCGAAGTCTGCGGAGCCTTCGGAGTCCGAGCGCAGCTGCGACAGCAGCAGCTCCCGCCGCACCTGGCGGAACCTCAGCACGAGGCACGAGGCACCCCAAGCCACCACCCCCCCCCCACACGAGGGGGCTGAGTCGAACCCACAAATTTTGACTGAACCCGGCCTCTGCGCCCTTTGGTTGGCCAAAGTCGGCCGCGGCACCCCCATCCACGCGGCACGGCCCTGGCAACGCCCCCGCCCAGAAACCTCCAGCCCGTCACGGGGTCTGCTTTTGGCGGTCGTTTTTTTGAGGGTTCCGTTTGAAGGGGAACCATAGCGAAAATAGGGTGGGGCCACCCAGTGGTTTGAACATGTTTAAACCACTGGTTATGACGACTCTCTTGTAAAGGTGGTGTTTGAACCATATTTTGCCCCACCCAGAAGGAAAGCCACCATCTTGTGGTGGAGCCGCGAGCCCCCAAGACGGGTCTGTTTTTCTTCAGAGGTCAAACAAAACGAGGCTCGGAGATCACACACTCCTGGGCTCAATGTTGTCCACTCCACTTTGAGACGGTTGGCTGAGGGCCTGAGGGGATTGATGTCTTGCATTGAACTGGCACAGCTGACATCGTTTAGAAAAACAAACAATGGATAAATCATAAACGCTTCTGGCGCAAGTTGAATCGAACCATTGGCTACGCATGAGGAACAGAATTGATATCGTCGTAGGCGACTTGTGCAAGTTCTGCACAAGTTCCCCAAAAGCTGAAAAGGCCCTTCGCGCCTTCCGTTTGAGCCCCGGCTTCTCGGCCTCGTAGCTCTGCTCCAACCTGAGTGGACAAAGTGGGCACACTGAAAGCAAGACAAGGGACCCTCCACCTTGGATGTCTCACAAGCGCCTGCGGGAACGCACATACATCTATAATCATGTCTATATATATATATATATGGTACCCCCCCCCCTGGAATACTCAGGTGTTTGGCCAGAAATTGACATTTTGGCTGTAAAAATGCATGCAAAACACACGTTCCAGCTTCTAAAAAATAGGCTCCAAAAATGCACTCCGTTTTAGACTTAAATTCTAGCATCGGTACTTAGGTCAATCCAGGATGTGCTAGCACGTGCTAGCACATCCCGGATTGAAGATTGAAGATTGAAGATTCTCTATCAGTTTGTCCTAAGAATTGAAGATTTCCAGAACAAGTGGCTCAATCTTCAATCTTCAATCCAGGCTGTGCTAGCACGTGCTAGCACATCCTGGATTGCCCTAAGTACATATTTGGAGAATTTCAGAAAGACTTGTCAGAGAATCTTCAATCTTCAGATCCTGGATTGCCCTAAGTGCAGATTTGAAGAATCTAAAAGGCATACCCGGAGTGGACGTTGTCAGAGTCAAATTGTGGATGTGCACTTGCACTGCCAAGCACCTGCATTTGGCCAGGGGGAAAAATGTTGTTGACATCTTTACAGGTTTTGTGTGGACTTGAGGGCTGGCCAGGATGGAAGATTCTCAATGGAAAATATAGTAGATCTTCAATCTTCAATGCAGGGGGCAAAACCTTAATGAGTCTAGAACAAACTGTCAAGTTTTTAGGGGAGCTATCTTCTCCAGTTGATTCTTGAAATCCACAAGAAACTCCAAACGAGTAAACTTGAATTTGGTTTGAACTCGAAAGCGTTTTAAACTGGATATCCTTCCCTTACTTGAATTTCAATACTTGTTATTGGCGATGATGGAACCAAGTTAGACAAGCAGCACACACACACATGGGATAGTTGCTTTGCAACATATCTTTCAATTAGACTGAACTGGCATGTACATGGAATTCTGCACAACACTCGAGTTAACATGAAAATGCAACTGCGCAAGGACATGAAGTAGGAAGGAGTTCCTTTTCCCCAAGTTGATGATTTGCTGAATTTCGCTGCCAAACCCGGAGTGCACGTTGTCAGAATCAAATTGTGGATGTGCACTTGCACTGCCTGCATTTGGCCAGGGGGGGAAAATGTTGTTGACATCTTTACAGGTTTTGTGTGGACTTGAGGGCTGGCCAGGATTGAAGATTCTGAATTCTCAATAGAAAATATAGTAGATCTTCAATCTTTAATGCAGGGGGCAAAACCTAAATGAGTCTAGAACAAACTGTCAAGTTTTTAGGGGACCAGGATTGAGGATGTTCTAAACATATGTTTGTGGAATCTTGTATACTCGATCTTCGATCTAAGGCAACACGATCTGAGCAAATGCTGAAAGACACTGCGTTTTACAGCATTTATGCCAATCATAAGATCTGTGATTGAAAGCACGTTCCAGGCATTGGCTTGGCTTAGTTTTTGCTTGGTTCAAACCACATGGAGTTCGATAAGGACAATAGTCATCTTCTCCAGTTGATTTTTGAAATGCACAAGAAACTCCAAACGAGTAAACTTGAATTTGGTTTGAACTCGAAAGCGTTTTAAACTGGGTATCCTTCCCTTACTTGAATTTCAATACTTGTTATTGGCGATGATTGAACCAAGTTAGACAAGCAACACACACACATGGGATAGTTGCTTTGCAACATATGTTTCAATTAGATTGAACTAGCATGTACATGGAATTCTGCACAACACTCGAGTTAACGTGAAAATGCAAATGCGCCAGGACATGAAGCAGGAATGAGTTCCTTTTCCCCAAGTTGATGATTTGCTGAATTTCGCAGCCAAACAAAAATAAGAAACACACAATAGTAGAGGCATTGAGGCTGCCAAAGCATACTTCGCGCACTACTCTTGTACTGGACAGTTGTGCTTTTTGAGCTGGAGCTGCCAAAGTGAACTTTGCATACTCCAATGTGACTTTAAGTGCACTTCGCGCACGCCAATGTGACGGTCACACAACTCGCAACTCCTTCAACGTTGAGCTTAACTTCTGCTTGGTTGGAATTTGCATGGCAGTCAGTTCATTTCAGAGTCGCAAGGAATTTGTCACCCCCAGTCTAGCAAAAAAAAACTCAGTTCTGGCCCAAAACCTGAGTATTTCAAGGGGGGGGTATCATATATATATATATATATGCTACCCCCCCCCCCCCTTGAAATACTCAGGTTTTTGGCCAGAACTGAGGTGTTTGGCCAAAGCAAATTCCACCCAAGCAGAAGTTAAGCTCAACGTTGAATAGGAGTCGTGTGACCGTCACATTGGCGAGCGCGAAGTGCACTTAAAGTCACATTGGAGTATGCAAAGTGCACTTTGGCAGCTCCAGCTCAAAAAGCACAACTGTTCAGCACAAGAGTAGTGCGCGAAGTGTGCTTTGGCAGCTTCAACGCGCCTGTATCAACTGTATTTGTTTTGTGTGTTTTGTATTATGACTTTTGTTTGGCAGCGAAATTCAGCAAATCGTCAACTTGCGGAAAAGGAACTCCTTCCTACGTCATGTCCTGCGCAGTTGCATTTACATGTTAACTCAAGTGTTGTGCATAATTGCAAGTACATGCTAGTTCAGTCTAATTGAACCCGATTTTGCAAAGCAGCAACTATCTCAGTTGTGTGTTGCTTGTCTAAGTTGATTCAATCATCGCAGGAAGGATATTGAGTTTAAAACGCTTTCAAACCAAACTGAAATTGAATCGTTCGCAGTTTCTGGTGTATAAATCAACTGGAGAAGATAGCAATTGTCATGGCCAAATGAACTTGGAATCAAAACTCAATTTTGAAAGGGTTGTTGTCCTTCTCGAACTCCATGTGGTTTGAACCAAGCAAGAACTGAGCCAAGCCAATGACAGAAAGTGTTTTCAATCATAGATCTTATTCTTGGCAGAAATGCTGTAAAACGCAGTGTTTTTCAGCAGTTGCTCAGATTGTGTTGCCCTGGATCGAAGATCGAATATACAAGATTCCACAAACGAACATCCTCAATCCTGGCCCCCCAACAGCTTGACAGTTTGTTCTAGCCTCATTAAGGATTTGGCCCCTGCATTGAAGATTGAAGATCGACCAGATTTTGTATTTAAGAATCTTCCATCCTGGCCAGCCGTCAAGTCCACAAAAAACCTGTAAACATGTCAACAACATTTCCCACCCTAGCCAATTGCAGGCAGTGCAAGTGCACATCCACAATTTGATTCCGACAACGTGCACTCCATCGGCACTTAGAACAATCCAGGATCTGCATTGAAGATTGAAGATTCTCTGACAACTCTTGCTGGAATTCTTAAGATATGTACTTAGGGCAATTCAGAATGTGCTAGCACGTGCTAGCACATCCTGGATTGAAGATTGAAGATTGAAGATTCTCAGACCACTTGTTCCGGAAATCTTCAATCCAGCCTTAGGACAAACAATATGTGCTAGCACGTGCTAGCACATCCTGCATTGAAGATTGAAGAAGAATCCCTGAGAGAGTTGTCAGAGAATCTTCAATCTTCAATCTTCAATCCAGGATGTGCTAGCACGTGCTAGCACTTGCTAGCACATGCGCACCCTGGATTGCCCTAAGTACAGATTTGAAGATTCCCAGCAAGAGTTGTCAGAGACTCTTCAATCTTCAATCTTCAATCCAGGATGTGCTAGCACATCCTGGATTGCACTAAGTACCGATGCTAGAATTTAAGTCTAAAAAAGGAGTGAGCCTCATTTTACAGGCTGGAACGTGTGTTTCACATTCATACTTACAGCCAAAATGTCAACTTCTGGCCAAAAACCTGAGTATTCCAGGGGGGGTACCATGTGTATATATATATATATATATATGCACACAAATACAAGAACATGACTACAAAACTGCAAGAGCTTGATCACATTTGTGCGCATCACGCGGTTGATGCGCACCTTGCTGACAAACAAGTGCCTTCAACAACGTGTACGCTCGCATCAAGTCTGGATATTGAATTCGCTGTCAGGCAAACTCGTACCATAAGTGCAGACATTCTGAACAACAGCTTAGATCAACCTGAATACCAAAAGTCCTGAACGCGAATCAACAACACATTGAGACCGCCACAACTGCTGTTTGAACCGAAGAGCTTTTCTACCAGCTCTCTCGCGGCTTGCGCTTGCCGCAGAATCTGCTCAGCCTCCTCCTTCTTGGTTTGAGGCTCCTAGCAAAGCCAATTCGTCAGAACTTCCAACAAACAACACATCACTGTTCCAAGTCTGAGTCATCCTGTGTGTCACACGTGTCGCACTGGCTGTCTGGTGGACTAGCCATGGCGCACTTGCGGTACGCAAACCTACCCCATGCAGAATGCTGAACCAAGATGGCAGCCGGTACACCAAGAAATAGCTTCAAAACTTTCCAAGACCTTCGCAAAACAACGCGTCCTTCAAAGTACGGCTAGCAAAACCCCAATCCCGAAAGAAACTGCAATTAGGGAAGATTCAGAACTTCAAAATCAAGTCCCAGACACGTTACAAAATGTGACCGTCATACTGATCAAGACACACGTTGTACGTGTACGAAGCCATCCCCCAAACCTGCCTCACACACATTTTCACCCCCCAAGCCAAACTCAAATCAATCCTACAATCCTACACGCCCGAAACACACTCTAATCGCCAACCCTAAGACAACATGCTAAGCAAGCTTCAAATCCATCGTAAAGCCACACAAAAAAACAAGAGCTTGTTTGCATTTCAACTTGCCAGTTGGCTCGCCTTTCCTTGTGCGCGGAGACCATTTTTTCTGCGGGCGCAAGGGAAGAGCACCACCTTCATTCAGCTTGGTTGCCCGCGTCCCTAAACCCGTGGCTTGTGGAATCGCCGAGTTGGATGGAAGGGTTCAGCTTCAGACGAATTGTTCGGCGCAGAGCTAGAGTAATAGGCGACAAACCACCGTTCCAGCCAAACAATACTTGGCCGCAAGACTCTGAGCTACCAAGATGTTAACTTACTTAAGACCTGAATTTGTGTATGTTCTCAGAAGACAATTTTGCAGCCCGACTTGGCTTTGCCCAGGTCACATTGCTTGCTTGCCAAAAACTCCAGCTAGAGTGCGCTCGCCCACCGGTCAACACCTCAGAGTATCTGCCAAGCCTGACTACTGCCATCATTCAGCACTGCGCACGAAAATTGCAACCCGAGGCCCTACATGCCTTTTCCCTATCCATGCCGTCTTGGAGTATGTGACGGAGCCGGCTGGCTTTTGTCGCTCCGCGCCAGAAACGGGCCATCCATTGCAAGCAGTGTGGCTGGCATGGCTTAAGTCACAAGGAAAAAATGTAACTCGCATTTCGGCGTGCGTGATCAGAAAATTCAGAACCGCCAGTTTTAGCAGACGAGTCTGTCACAGCCGTACGCAAAACTTGTCAGGCCTTGAAGAAAGAACAACTGCATGACCGCTTGGCCGTGTTGCATTTGCAACAGTCGCAAACGATCCAAACTTGAAGTTGCTGCCCTTCCGAGCCTGTTCCAACCGGCAGAGAAAAACAGTGGCTTAGAACAACTGTCAGAGTGCATAGGCACGTGGTAAAAAAGAAAGTGCAAAACATCCTTCAACTGACATGCCTTGCCTTGCTCACCAAAGTTTGTTGCTTGCAATTGTGCAATTGGTGCAATTCTAACATAAGCCTCTGTCCATGTTTATCATCTTCTTCAACCGAAATTTTAGTCTCATAAATGACATTGTTTAAATCAAAACCAAGAATTTGATGATGCCTCTCCTTTTTTGCCTCTCTGCTGAAGCTACACAATGTACCGGTCGCTCTTTGGCATCAAAGGCACCTGTTCCACGGTGCGCTGGCTGCCTTGATCATAGTACCGATATCTTGAAAAAAATTCAATCTTAAAAACAGCCTGGTTTGGTGCGGATGGGCCATACACTTAGAATCTTTGCAAAGTATGCGATAGGGACCATGAATTGAAACACTGCCGCGTTTTGTCTGTGCTTCGTTTAGGTTGAAGCACTTTAGAGGAGTTGAAACAAGGCTGGTTTCAAGCGCGCATCACTTGAAATTATTCGCCCTGGCGGAATGCAACTTATGGGCAATAAAATCACAAATGGACCATCCTTATATGCATGTGCCAGCATCAGGGCAGAAGTGAAACTTGATAGCCTTTGTAGTCAACTGCGGAGTTTTCTTGGTTTCTTTGCCTTACACACAGTAGCAGCTGTCCGTCACCGTGGTTTTTCCCGAAAACATTTCGAAGGGTTCTTCCGGTAAAGTCGTTGCGTTCTGCACAGCTCAACTGCACAGGGAAAATACAAAGGAACTGCATAGACTGCACGGCTCAACTGCATGGGCAATAAACTGTGAACTGGGGAATGGGGCGGACTGGCTCATCCTTCCTGCTAGCACCCGAGCCATTTTGCGGTCGGTGGCCAAAGGACCACCATCCAAGTCGCTGCCTGACTCAGAGGAGTAATGGGTACCACTAGTAGAACTGGAGGAGGAAGTGCTGCTGGGAGGAGCCGGCGCATCATCAAGACGAAAAGGGTGTGCATCTGCCGAGCTGGAAACGCAAGGAGAGGCCGTGGAACTTGCAGCCGCGCCTGATGAGGGCACCTGCATGGCCACCCAGTCATCCCTGCAACAGAAACGATGGTCCTGCTGACACGTTCATGATCGACTTGATATTGACCAACCACCGAATGGGACGTTTTCACGAACGTCATAGGTGCGCCAGCCCCCTTTCTCCTGCCCCATACGCTGGCCATCATACCTAGAAGTCATGAAATCCGAGAGGGCCTTGTGCCACACTGTACACCAACCATGTTTGCGCACATTTTTGTAGAAAATGTCCACCAAACGCGTCCCAGCAGGCGCCGTCTGCACAAGGTCTTGGAACTCCTCCATCATGGGCTCTGGGCTTTCGTCAACGTATTGGAGGGCTTGCGTCACCTGCAGGGAGACAGGCCAGTGTGGCCGGTGTTGCCGCAACGCTTGCGAAAAGTGTTCATGCTGCTGACCCCGATCCTTGCTCGATCCCGCATCACTGGCGCACACTGGCAGCTGCACCCGGAAGGATGCAGCTTCCGAAACATCCGGAACGACTGCAGAGAATACCGGGCGCTGGGTCAACAGATTGCATCGCCGGCTGTAAAGAGCAAGGCGTCAGCAGGGATTTGGGAAATTGGCAGCACGGCTTTCCCGTCCAGATAACGCAGGCTGACATTGCCTTTAACCTTGTCATTCAAGCCAGGCCGCGAAGCAGAGGCAACGGGCAAGTGTGGCAGCCCCCGCAACACAACCCGAACAGGCATGAAAACCTGCAGACCATGGAGGCAGTGTGAAAACAAATGTGTTTTGGGGTGCGTGAATAGGTATTTGACCAGCCCCCGCATCTTGTCACCATCCTTCAACGCTGTGACAACGAAGCCAGTACCCCTCATCCCAGTTTCCTGTACCTTGTTGAGTCCTTGCCTAGCCTGATCGGGCTGCTGAGCAACGGCACCCGCCCCATTCATGACGCGGCCCTGGGCTTTGGGCACTGCATGGTGGCCAAGGCCCGGCGCATCCTGGACGCGCCGCCGCGCTACCTGGCGCAGGTGAAGACGGACTGCCTGCTGACGCAGCGGCTGCCGAAGCGCTTCACGGAGCGGCTGCGGGCGCTGGAGGCGCTGCGCCACCCGGACGGCACGCCGGTCTACCGCGCAGAAGAGACGAAGCCGTTGCTGGGCAGCAGCAGGGCGCCGCGCGTGGAGGCGGAGCGCCCCAAACAACGGAGGTGGAACGGGGTGGACGACCCTGTCAACCACTGCCTGGCGGGCAACTCCCTGCTGCTCACGGGCCTGCCGGGCACCGGAAAAACGTATTTGGCTCGGACCATTGTTGCGAGGCCGAGAGCAGGGCGAGGCGGTGCACCTGGTGTCCAAGACGCACTGCTCCGCGCAGAACCTGGGGCTGGGGGCGCAGACGGCCAACCACTGGGCGCGCAGGTACGTGCGCGGCGGCAGCGCGCGAGATCACGCAGCTGGACATGGCGCTCTGGGCGGACCTGGCCTGCGTGGGGCTGAACGCCGACGTGAAGTTCCTGCTGCTGGGCGACTTCCGACAGCTGCCGGCCGTGCTGGACTCTTGGGCCGGACTTTTTGGCCCAAAAACGCTCTCACCACAATGTCACCGCTTCGTCACCGCTCTCTTTGGGGCCGAAAAGTGCGCAAAAGAAGCGGCCAGTCTGCAGAACTTTACGTGGAACTCCACGCGGGCATGTACCAAAATCTGGGTCATGCCTGTCGCCAGTTCCGCAAGGCCGGCTCCGGTCTAAGAGCCTCTCCACCGAAGTCGGAAATCCGACCTCGCCATACCAAAGTCGGATTGGGGCCTGGTGCGGGCCTGGTGCGGGCCTGGCGCGGGCCTGGCGCGGGCCTGGTGCGGGCCTGGTGCGGGCCTGGCAATCCTGTGTTGGGCACAGGATTGCAGCTTCAATCCTGCTGTGGGCGCAGGATTGCTCCACCCATTCCTGCGCTCACAGCAGGATTGCCCCGGCGCACTACCAGCAGCTCGGGCTTGGAGCTGTTCTTGCCCGAGCACAGCCTCGTGATGGAGCCGGCCCTGCTGTAGAGCTCCCAGGCCTCAGGCACGTCGTTGATGCTCACGAGGAAGGGCAGGCCGCTTGCGAAGAGCGCGTCTCGGAGCTCCGAGTGGAAGGCCAGGTCATGCCCCCGCCTCCTCGTGCCATAGTAGTTCATGCTGCGGCCTGGGAAGATGTAGGGAGGATCGGCATATATGGCCTGTCGGGGTGCCTGGTGGGGCAGAGTGCGTAGATAGGCCAGTGCATTGCGCGGTGGCCGCTGCATACGCCGCACGCCAGCGGCCGCTGCTGTGTGAAGGAGCCCCACTTTCCCGAGAAGCTGTTGCGCAGCAGGACGTATGAGCAGGCAGCCCGACGCCCGGCGCGGCCTCTCTGAGCGCCCGGCAGAAGGTGACTGAAGCAGAAGCGCCTGTCTATCTTGCGCCCCGCCAGGCGCAGCAAGGAGCGCAGGAAGACCGGGTCTTGCCTTAAGTAGCAGCGGTGCAGGTTTGTGACGGGCTCGAAGGCGTCGACGCCGCGCACCTTCAGGGCCGGACGCCGGGTTGCGAGGTAGTACTCCAGCTTTCCAGAGCCAAAGAAGGGAGAGTGAAGCACAGCGACGCCCCCCAGCAGCCGGTCCACGTGTGGAGCCAGCCACGATTTGCTTCCCATGTACTTCAGCCGCGTGCCAGCCTTTAGATTTATCCCGGTCTCACTGCCCAGCTTCCCAGCGTCGAATTTGGGAAGTAAGGCAAAGGACGTATGGGGAAGATCAAGCTGTTTCCTACGGCCGAGTATAG